CTAACTCACAAAAAAAGACCAGATTTACTGGCCTGACAGACTGGAGAAACCCCGAGAGTATGGCCCCCAGAGACCCTTTTAGCTCAGTGGTGAAGCCCCTCCTGAAGTTCACCGTTAAGCCAGGGATTGGACAGTTGGACAGCCTCATAAAACAGGAGTAATGAGGCACAGCAGTCCAAGGACAAGGACTAGAAGGCAGGAGGGGACAGGAAAGCTGGTGATAGGGAACCCAAGGTTGAGAAAGGAGAGTGTTGACATGTTGTGGGGTTGTTAACCAATGTCATAAAACAATATGTGTACTGATTGTTTAATGAGAAACTGTTTGTTCTGTAAACCTTCATCTAAATTACAATAAAAAAAAGAATTATCTATGTGAGATCAAATTGACAACAGCAACTCAAAAGGTTTGATGGGAAGCCTAGGGGACAGTGAGTTGAAGATAATGGTGATGGAATAATTTGGAAAAGGATAGTGAGAATAGCAGCACAACTGGAAGAATTTAATCGATGTCACTGAATTGTTCAGGTATTTCAAAATGGTGTAACTTTAGCTATGTGTATTTTCACCCAAAAAAAGGTCCTCAGGGTCGAGAAGGGAGAGTGTTGACATGTTGTGGGGTTGTTAACCAATGTCATAAAACAATATGTGTACTGATTGTTTAATGAGAAACTGTTTGTTCTGTAAACCTTCATCTAAATTACAATAAAAAAATTTTTTTTAAATGCAGAATCTTAGGCTCTACCAAGACCTACTCAGAATCTGCCTTTTCACAAGACTCCTAGTTGGTTTGTGTGTGCATAGACTTTTTCGAATCTTCCAGTTCACTTTCTTCTCTCGGTACATGAGCCTCCCTGAGTCCTGGCTTCTGTCGTTTGGCTTTCTGTTTTGCTCAGGCTCCAGGGACTCTCATCTCCCTGCTGTCCCCAAGACTCTGTCTCCCAAGATACAGGGGATAAACCTTCAGGATATGTAGCAGTTTAACTGTTTGTTTACCTCACTGGGCTACTTTTTTAGTTTACCGCTACTTACTTTCTTAAAAGTTCTTCTTATGACTTAGAAATGTTTTATATATTTTTTTCTATCTTTTTAAGTTTTTTTATCTGTAGGGTGTTGGCATCTCTAATTGATCAGATTGCCAGAAGCAGAAGTTATAAGCAGTTTTTTTTTTTTTATGATGATTCTTTTTCTCTTGCTTTTCATTATTTCTTCCTTTAGATGGTCATCTTTTAGCTTATAATGTACTCATAAACACAGTTCTAAATAGGCTTTGGATAAGACCAAACCACTCCCTTGAAGTAGGAGGCATGGGCTTTATTGCAGTTATTTCTTTACATTTCAAAGGATAGTTTTTGCTTTAAGTTTGTTAGCTATTTCAGGTGGTTGATATAGTCAGAAGTCTGATAGCCAAAATGTAATACTGATGTTACTATAGTTACTGTTGCTTAGCACCAGCTTCTGTATGCAAAATCCACAAAAGTGGTCCTTGGGCTCGCCTTTGCATCTCTGCTAATCCTTGTCATCTGTTAGGCCCTTCTTTGACGTCATCTGCCCCTTAAAGCTACTTTCATGTGCCTCACTGTCTGCCAGGCTAATATGTGTGGACTTGTTTCCAAAACTTCAGAGCCTGCAGGTGCCGAGGAGCACAGCGTCCCCTTTCTTATCTTGTACTGTGCAAAAATGTAGGGAATGCTTCTCCGCCATATTCTGTCATCGTCAATCACCTGAGTACAAAAATAGTTCTGTTTATGATTCCACTGGTCTCAGAGTCCCTTGAGAAAACTGGTCTTTCAGCTTTTCCTCTCATCCCCTCTTTCTGCAGATAAGATTCGTGCAGAAGTGCATAAGGCCAGATTGAGAGACCAGTTTCTCAACCCTGTGCTTTGCTACACTCCCCTTTCCCCATTCTTCACTAAAAACCCTTATGCAGATTGACTTCTGCATCCCACAGTTTAGGCTCAATGTATTAACAGACCAAATGTGTGCAAATACACAGACATACACTGCTATTTCAGTACTGTTGCTGCTGTTGGAGGCTGTTGAGTCGATTGTGACAGAGTAGAACTGCTCCATAGGGTGTTCTTGGCTGTAATCTTTATGTAAAAAGATCGCCAGGTCTTTTCTCCTGCGGAGCCGCTAGGTGGGTTCAAATTCACCAACCTTTCGATTAGCAGCTGAGCACTTAACCATGGCACCACCAGGGCTCCTTTACTTCAGTACTACATTACTTTATTTCTCTTAAACTACCCTGCAATTATCCTCATTTTACAACTGGGGAAAAAGACTCAGTAAGATAAAATAACTTTCTCAAGGTTACAGAGCTACTAAGTAGTGAGGCTGGCATCAGAACCCATGGAACTCCAATGCCTTGGGCTGGCAAATTTTAACTTCTCTATTGTATTACTTGTATTACTTAGGAAAAGTTTAAACTATAAAGTTCTAACCGGTTAGGCTGGCGAGGCTGCTCTGCTTTGATAGGTCATTCAGGGATCCAGGTTCTTTTCATCTTGTTGCTCCACCATCTGTAGGGCGGTACCAATAGTTAGCCAACATACACGAATAGAGCTGTACTAATTACTTACAGTTTATGTCTGTTCTGATTGTTTGAACTTCTGTTTGGGCAATACCTATATCATACCAGTTGTTAAACATTTTAAGTATCACCCCTGCGCTGAGTATTGTCTTCATCTGCGTGGTTGAAGCTGGTCACTGCCATGTCTACAGGACAACTCAAAGGAATGGGGAAAGAAATCCAGGGCAGTTAGCTTGTTGCAAAATTGAGGCAACCTGGAATTTTTACACATTATTTCCAGTCACAGCCCATTGGCCACAACTGCTATTACTATAAGAACATAAAAATTTATATAATATGTCCTTAGATATTGAAGTAGAAGTTTGAAGGCAAAGTAGTCTTAACCCCCCCAAAAACAACAAAAATTTAAATAGATAAGTGTTTTCTATTTTAATATATACAGAAATCATCACTGGTCCACAGAATTTTTCCCAGCCAGTTAGTATAATAAGTATAAAGTATTTTGTGTAAGTGAGCATGTAGAGGGAAAGAAACTATGTGTAGATCCATATTAATTCTGTAGATCGTTGTAGCTTTATGAAAACATTCAGTTACATTTATCTTTTTTTTAACCTAGTATTTTGAGGGCTCTTAGGTCTGTGGGAGAATGCTGATTTGCATTCCAGTCAGTCATTCAGCCAATCAGCAGATTTGCTAGTCACTGAGCAATATGCAGTATAGGTGCAAATGATCAGCCTGACGTACTGTATTGAAATTATTAATGTAGTTTGTGTGTAACATTATGTAACTTTATGTAATCTTACATACAAGTCTTATGTAAATTCCAGGTAGTCTGTGGAGGTGTGTTTTATATCCACACACATATAGATACATACAAGCAAATATTTGTATGCATATATGTTTGTATAACACATAAGGTCACCATGAGTCAGGAGCCTACTCGATGGCAGCTAACAACAACAACAATATATTTGTGTGTGTATGTATATGTATACACACACACACACATATGCAATTTTATTTTGAAGTAGGGGGGGAGGTGATGTAGTGATGACTGGAATATGAATAGAATATATGTAAGAAAAACATTCTAATTATATATAATGCTGTCACGAGCTTCCAGATAATTCAGTAACAGTAAAGGATACTTTTGCCACTACGCTAAGTGCTTAGCATAAATTGTCCTATTTAATCTATTCAGTAACCTGATGAGATAGGTATTGTTATATTCAATTTGGAGGGGAAGAAACAGATTTAGAAAGGGTAAATAGCTTGACCAAGGACTGTACAACTAGAAGGTGGTTGAATTTCCTCTTGCTGCAGTAACAATTACCACAAACTTGGTGGCTTAAAACAGCACAAATTCATTATCTTCTGGAGGTCAAAATTCGGTCTCACTGGGCTAAAATCAAGGTTTCAACAGGGCTGTGTTCTTTCTGGAGGCTCTAGGGGAGAATCTTCTTTCCCCTTTCCAGCTTTTGGAGGGCGTCTTCATTCCTTCGCTCGTGATGCTTCTCCATCTTTAAAATCAGCAACTTCATGCCAAATCTTTCACATGCTGCCATCTTTCTGGTTCTCTCTTATGACTCCCTCTGTCACTTAGAAGAGTCCTTTTGATTGCATTGGGTCCACTCAGATAATCTAGGATAATCTGCCTAGTTTGAGACCATCTGACTAGTAACCTTAATTCCATCTGCTACCTTAATTTCCCTTGGCATGTAACCTAACCTGTTCATAGGTTCTGGGTATTAGGATGTGGTCATCTTTGGGGGCCATCATTCTTCCTGCCACAGTGGTCTAACTAGAACTGGTACCCAGATCTGTCTGGTGCTAAAGCCATTCCTTTAGCAAGTTGAAAACCCCCAACCCCGGGGCCATGTTTCCAGAATGGTTTTGCCCTTATTGAACATTATCTCAAACAAGGGGTTGGATAACTTTCATAGTTTAACTTTTTCTTTGCGACCAAGAGAAAAAGTGACCTTGTTTGCGCATCACAGATGCTCAGTACATTTTAAATTTTTCTGTTGGCAGGCAAAGAAGACCATAATTAGAATTTAAATATAAGAATACTAAATATAGTCCCTCGTGATTTCTAGGTAGAACTTAAATACTAAATATTATTGTTAAAAAATTCATACCACTTTTCTTTTTTTAGTTAATGATCTGACCATTGATATTTTTGGCATCAATTCAGACAGGAATCAGTGTTTCATATGAGTTTACAATTTTGATAATGATTAATCATTTCAAAGTTCTTTTTTTTCTTTTCAAACTACTAACATTGATTGCCTCCAAGGAAGGGAACTGACTGGAAGACAGGGGTGCATGAGAGAATTTTCACTGTATGTCCTTTTGTACCTTTTAAGCTTTGATGCATGAGACTATATAAACTCAAAATAAGTAAATTGTTAAATTTTAAAAGCAGAACAAATAAACAGCTTCCATTTTTCCACTATCCCTGCTCTCCTAGGACCACCTCTTCTGTGTCATTCTTTGAGAAAAACAAGTTCTTCTAAAGGAGGCAAGTCTGAACCCACCAAACAATCCCTTAAGAAGCCAAAGTTACCAGAAGGTCGTTTTGATGCACCAGAGGGTTCTCATTTAGAGAAGGAGCCACTAGAAAGTGAGTATAGTAAAGCTCCTCTCTTAATTTTTGAAATATCTCAGTTATTGAGAAAAAAATGAAAGAAAATAAATGTTACCGCTTATAATTCTTTATTAACAATAATAAAGCATATTGCGATACTGAATAAAATTACCATTATTAACCCATGAATATGTGAGGATAAAATGAAAAAAATTTCCAAGCCCCTGACACTGCTTTAATTGTTTATTTATTACATTCCATTATTCATATGATAAAGTATCTGAGTTGAGACATTCTTCAGTGCAAGTAACAGAAACCCACCTGAGCAAACTTAAGCAGAAGGGATGGTAGGGTATTAGGATACAAGTAGGCACCCATGGGCAGTGTTGCTCCTGGGCCTTGGAAAAAGACTGGAATCTAGGGACTAAGCACTGTATAGAATTGAGACAGTCTCCCACCTCCTCTTGTCTCTGTTCACTTCTTTTCATTGTTCTCTGTCTCAAACTGGCTTCTCATTCCACAGAGCAGAAAGCAGCTGGTCCCAGTAGCTACTCAGTTCAAGAAAGCCACCAGACTCAGACTAGAATTTTTTAGTCCTAATTCCAAACTCTCAGAGCCCATTGGCCAAGCTTGGATTAGGTGTCCACAGCTGAATCAATCAAGAGTGACCAGTGGGGTGGGTCACATGTGAAGATGGTTGTTCCCTCTGTTATTGTATGGTTGGAGACAGAAGGAGTAGTTTTGAGGAAAAAGAATTTTTGTGTGGGGGGTGGTGATAGACTAAACATTATTTTGTATTCAGTATGCACAAAATTTGTTCCTGCCTTAAAGCTCTGTTTTTTAAAGTACTACTTTATTGTAAAGTTTTATGTCCTTTTGTACCTTTTAATTTTGGAACATGCGCAAGTATTATCTATTCAAAAAGTAAATTTTGAAACAACATAAATACAAACATGCCATTTTGAGAACTTGGCAAAGCTGCCTTGCTTGTCCAATTTTTCCAGTTAAATGAGAATTAACCCATCTGTGCAGTGAAGCATCCTAGGAAAGAGCACATCAGCAGAAAATGTAGAGACCTGTGTATAGAACCCTTTTTAGCATATGAAAGCTTTTATTGATTGCTCATTCAGTTAAGTATTTCAATTTATAGCACTTTACCAAACCTAATCTAATAAACATACCAGTCAGCCAAAATAAAATGATAGAGACTTCTAAGAAATCGCCATATTATAAAGGTAAGATTTTTCCTTTGAGGCTTGCTGTTGTTGTTAGGTGCTGTCGAGTAGGTTCCAACTCATAGCGACCCTATAGGACAGAATAGAACTGCCCCATAGGGTTTCCAAGGAGCAGCTGGTGGATTCGAACTGCTGACCTTTTGGTTAGCAGCTATAGCTGTCAGCTAATCAGAAAAATCTGAGAGGAAATATTTCCTTAAAATATCACATCAGAAGGAAGCAGCACATTTCAAGAGCTAATCATCTATTTGGCATAATACTAGGCATGCCTCATAATTTTTGAGTCACTGAAGTTCATGATAAACCTATCATCCCTTATAAACTGGTCTGGCAAAGTCACCAAACCTACCAGATACTTTTCAGTCCTCATTTTATTTGTACTATCACTGTGTCTTGAAATTTTCTGCTTGGTTGCGGTTACGCTATCTCCAGTTTCTCATTCTGTTTCTGCATCCACTTTTTCCTGGACCCTTCATAAGCCCCTCTGATTCTGTCCAACTCCTTAATGTGGGTATTTGCTAGGCCTCTCTCTTTAGGCCCCTAAACTTTCCTAGGGAGATCTCATATCCTGCTAATGTGATTTTAAAAATCACATATGCATTGGTAATTCACACATTTCTACCTCCAGTCAAACCTCACTTCTAATCTTTTTTTTATTTTTTATTCTTGAGTCTAAATGAAGGTTACATTTCAAGTTGGTCTCCCATACAAAATTTTATACGTACATTGTTCTGTGACCCTAACTGCTCACCCCATTCTGCGACAGCACACTCCTCCTTTCCATCCCTGATTCCCCATGTCCAGTCAACCAGCTGCTAACTCTCTCTGCCTTCCCATCTCACCTCTGGACAGAAGGTGCCCCCTTGGTCTCTTGTATCTACTTGAGGTAAGAGGCACATTCCTCACGAGTATCACTTTATGTCCCACAGTACAGTCTAATCCGAGTCTGAAGAGTTGGCCTCGGAAATTGTTTTAGTTCTGGGCTGATAGAAAATCCAGGCACCATGCTTTCTGGGGTTCCTCCAGTCTCAGTCAGACCATTAAATCTGGTTTTCTGACTAGAATTTGAGTTCTGCACCCCATCTTTCTGCTGCTCCATCAGGGACTCTCTGTTGTGTTCCCTGTCAGGGCGGTCATTGCTGGTAGCCGGGCACCATCTAGTTCTTCTGGTCTCAGGCTGATGAAGTCTCTGGTTTATATGGTCCTTTCTATCTCTTGGGCTAATACTTTCCTTGTGTCTTTGGTGTTCTCACTTCTAATCTTCATTCTCCTATCTCCAGCTGCCTCCTGAACATCTTCATTTGAATAGTCCAACTATATCTCAAAATTCATATTCTGAAACTAAACTCTTCCTCTATCCATTGTTCCCACTCACAATCACTCCTCCCTCCTACCCTATCCCATATTCTCCTTTTATTCCTGGATTGCCAGTCTAACTCATCTACCTAGTAATCCAAGCCTGAAACCTGGCAGTAATCCTTCACTCCTGCCTCTGTCCATATCGAATCACTAACCAAGTCCTACTGATTCTACCTTCTTAAAGCCGATCGAGTCAGTTCCAACTCATGGCAACCCCATGTACGTCAGAGTAGAACTGTGCTTCGTAGGGTTTTCAATGACTGATTTTTCAGAAGTAGATAACCAGGCCTTTCTTCTGAGATGGCTCTGGGTGGACTAAAACGTTCAACCTTTTGGTTAGCAGCTGAGCACACTAACCTTTGCACCACCCAGGAACTCCCTCTACCTCCTTGACATCTCTTAAATACATCCCTTCTCATCCATCCTACCAATAAAGCTAAATTCAAGTTGTCTCTAGCTCTGTTGCTGTCCTAACAGATCTGTTTCTTGCTTTGTTTCCCACCTTGTAGTCTTATCTCCCTGCCTTTAGTACTTAACTTCATTCTAAGAAGAATTTATAGGTTGTCGCTTTGCAGAAATTTGAATTCATTTTTACGATGATAAAGGTACAAAGGTGAATTAGAAAGAAAGATGAGATACGTAAGGAGTTACGGACAGGACACCAGGTAGTAATTGACAGAAGAAATAAAAAGAAAAAGCTCAGAAAAAATACAAAAAGGAGGTAACATTTGAGCTGTGTTTTAAAGGAAAAATAAAATTGTAGTAAGTATGTAAGGAGTGATGGGGAAATATTTCCAAAAAAAAAAGAGAAAATGGAACGAAGGAAAAGAACCACATGATCATCTCAACTGATGCAGAAAAGTCATTTCACAAAATCCAATATCCTTTTATGTTAAAAACTCAAAAAAGTAGGAATAGAAGGGTAGGTCCTCAACATGATAAAGGTCATTTATGAAAAATCCACAGCTAGCATCATAGTGAAAGAGTGAAAGCTTTCCCCCTAAAATCAGGAATATGACAAGGATACCTGGTTTCACTACTGCTATTGAGCATTGTACTGGAAGTTCTAACCAGAGCAGTTAGTCAAGAAAAGGAAATTAAAGACAACCAAATCAGAAAAGAAGTAAAACTATCTCTGTTTGCATATGACATGATCCTATATATAAAACCCATTGCCATCAAGTCAATTCCAACTCATAGTGACCCTATAGGACAGAGTAGAACTGCCCCATAGGGTTTCCAAGGAGTGGCTGGTAGATTTGAACTTCTCACCTTTTGGTTAGCAGCTGTAGCTATTAACCACTATGCCACCAGGGCTCCAAATCCTATATATAGAAAATCCCAAAGAGTCCACAAGAAAGCTACTAGAGCTAATAAATGAATTCAGCAAAGTGGCAGGATACATGAGCAACACTCAAATATCAGTTGTGTTTCCCAGAACTGCAACCATTCCCAAATCCCACTTTTTAGAAAAAGATTAGAGAGGCCTATAAAACAAAAAAAAATTGATACACATGAGGAGCATGTTTCCTGGTTCAATCAAATACATGAGACCAAATGGGCATCTCCTGTCCAAAGGCAGGATGAGAATGCAGTAAGGGACAGCAACTGAACGAATGGACGCAGGGAACCCAGAGTGGAAAGAGGAGGTGTTCTGTCTCATTGTGGGGATTGCAACCAATGTCACAAAACAATGTGTGTATAAACTTTTGAATGAGAAATTAGCTTGAGCTGTAAACTTTCACCTAAAGCGCAATTTAAAAAAAAATCAGTTGTATTTCTGTGCACCAGAAATGAACAATCTAAAAAGGAAATCAAGAAAACCATCCCACTAACAGAAGCATCAAAAAGAGTAATAAAAGAATTCCTAGGAATAAATTTAATCGTGGAGGTGAAAGACTTGTACACTGAAAACTGTAAAACGTTGCTGAAAGAAAGTCAAGAAGACTTTAAAAAATGAAAAGACATCCATGTCCACAAATTAAGATTTAATATTGTTAAGACGTTAGTACTACCTAAAGTGATCTGAAGATTCAGTGAAATCCCTATCAAAATTCCAGCAGGCTTTTTTTTGCAGAAATGGAAAACTAACCCTCAAATTCATATGGAATGCCAGGGGGCCCTGAATATCCAAAATAATCTTGAAAAAGAGCAAAATAAGAGGACTCACATTTCCTGATTCCAAACCATACTGTAAAGCTCCAGTAACCAGAACAGTCTGGTAATGGTAAAAACATAGATATATAAACCAATGGAATAGAATTGGGAGTACAGAATATAATGAACTCCTACAAGTCAACAACAACAAGTCAACCCAATTTTAAAAACGGGCAAAGACAATAATAAGAAAAATATATAGGCAAAGGATTTGAATTAACGTTTCTAAAAAGAAGATATACAAATGGCCAACAAGTACATGAAAAGATGCTTAATATCCTTAGT